AAACATATTCAGAAACACTAGAATTTTGTTACGTACAAAATAAATAAATTGTTCTATAAATTGTTTCTAGAAGTATTTAAATTTTAATAAACGACCTTTTGTTAAATAAAAAAAAAAACAATTTGAAAATATAATCCTCCTTATATTTATATTAATACTTTGTATATTTATATATGCAATATTTATTGAAATTATAATTTTATAATTATATTAACAGACGTGTTTGAAATTGGAAAAAATATAATTCATCACTTTCACTATTTTTATTCAAAATGTGTAACAAAATTGAAAACACCACTAGTTAGAAAAAATACTTCTACTTTGTGAAGACATAACGCAAAAGGCACACTACTCAGTTCGAAACTTGTTATATAGTGAAAATAGTCCTTTCACCAAAGTATTGGCTAAGACTATATACCAAGTCTATTTTAAACCTCTTGAAATGATGAAATTCTTTGACATATATGTACATATAAAATAAATTGCTTAAGTTACAATGTACACACGACACGTTAAATTTTATATTGTTGAATTATATGCTGTTAAAGTATAAAAATGCTTTTTTTCGAGTAAAATTGATAATATTTAATTATGTGTTTCAGTATTGCAAAATTATAAGAATTTGAAATTTAATACTTGATGATACACATTTTTACATTCATCTATACATTCGTCTTCTGTAATTTATATTTTTGAAATCATTAACTTATAGCTACAATTTTTTATAAGATATAAAAACTTATATCTTTTTATTAGATGCATTGATTTGAAAATCAAATTAAAGTTAAAAATTTGTAGAATTATGTAACAGTTTACTTCTAATATCCTATCTAATTGAAAAGTTCGATGGAGAAAATCGTTAATCTTACTATCATAAACTTTATATTATCAACAAAATAAGAATAATAAACTAAATTATATAACATGTTTTAGGAAAATAATTTAAATATATACAGTTCTTTTCAATATATTTTTTAGCAAAAATAGAGATTGATAATCTAATAAAAATTTTTCTCTTATCCCGAAATTAAAATTAAACAAATCAAAGCTTTAAAATAAAATATAATTTTATAAATGAATAAAATATATTTTCAATTATCAATAAATATAAAATAAATACAATATATTTTCTAATAATTAATCAACATCAATTACAATACTGATTATAGTATTAATTACAATATTTTAGCACCAAATATTATTTAATACTTATATTTTTCCCTAAAAAAAAAACATCTAATTTTCTTTATGTAATGAGCAACAGATTTATTTATCTTTCTAGTTATTAAAAAACATAACTAAAGCTCTAAAAACTTATTATACTTAATATTTACAATATTTTTTATTTATTTATTTTTTTGTTAAATATCTTTAAATATCGTTTTTATTTGTTAAATGTTGTTGATATCGCTCACTTCCAAGAAAAGTGATACAACTCGACAAAATGTGATTTTTGATTCAGCACCATGAAAATGTTACACAGAATGCACCACTTACGAAAATCTTATCCATTTATCTTCATAATTTGGCCGGAAAGCAATTAATGTCGTCCTTCCTGATTTATGTGATACCGTGCTTCTTCTATAAATGCGTCCATTTTGTACGAATTTTATTTTGATCATTTTATTCTATCCTAATATTTACAACTATTTTTCGCTTCCCTAACTTTTCGAGTTGTATTATTTTCATTACACATGTACGATATAGTACTTAAAAATTGCCGAATTTGTTTTTTTTTTTTAAATTATTTACATCAATTTATATTAACTACTATAATTTGTATTAACTTCTATAATCACTAGTATTAATTATTATGTTTTATACTGCTTCAATATTCGTTTTCCTTTTCTTGTATATATAAACAAGAATCACAAATTTTATCCTTTATTGTTATTTAAAGTAGTGGAAAGTGAATGCTTTCTTTTTGTGTTACTATTATATTTTAAATTTTACATTAAGAAAAAAAACAGAAAACTAAGTTCCATTAAAAACAATATTGTTCTAATAATTTGTAACAAAATGTAACTGAATTTCTCTTCATATGTTATAAGCAGAAATAGATCTAATAAACAGAAAGTTTGTATATTATATCTTAGGATCATGAAATCCAATATTATACAACAATGATAGTTTGCAGAAACGTTTAAGAACAAACTCAGGACTTTGTAATTTAAATATAATTTATCATCAATTTTTCTTCCTCTTTCTCTCTCTTCCTGTCTCTTCTCTTTTAAAAAACTTTAAAAATAGAATTTCTGACTTTTAAATATATGATATTAAAATGATATCTTATTTGCTAATAAAAAAAATTGACCAATACTTATGGAAAAACAATTTAAGTTGATTTTTCTTTGACATTATTTTTGACGGTATTTTATTTGACATGATAATGACAACTTCAATGAAGCAATATTATCTTATGAAAATACTCATAGCTCATCTCTTCATGGTCAAATAAATTTAGTTCCATTCGACTGCGATTTTATTTTTTATTCATAATGAAGACGCCTTCAACAGTAACAAAAATATCAATAAGACAATATTAAACATTCGCGCGTTGTAAGAATAAAAAAGTTCTTCCTTCAAGTTCTTCCTCCTCCTTTTTTTTTTATACCTCAGAAGCGTACATACTTCCTTCAAACGTTGACCATTTCTGTGCACGCATTTTCGTTCATAAAATCCCCGCACAGAATGAAACATTTAAGTAGCCGAACACCGAAATTGCATTAACGAACTGAAATTGCAGTTGATAAAATAAAACACGTGGTACTAAACGTATTAAAATTAGAAGCTGAAAATATCCACTGACCTTTAAGAATGAGGTCCCGTGGTCATCTCAAGGTAGATCATCGACCGTGAGAAGTTCTCTTCTCCAGCCTCCCCACTCTGCCCCCTTCCCATCACCCCCATTTTCCCCCACCTCCACTCTCAACAGCTATCATACACCGCTGTGACATACTTCTGACTGAAATTTTTTTCAAACGTGTTCCATACTTCAGGGTTCAACGATCCATCCAAGAGTATGATCTGTTACTCGGTAAGCACTGCTAGTAGGACACTGGTCTCGATAGCTCTTGGAACGTGTACAAGGGCTGCTTTGAAAGTAACGCTTGCTCTTCTTACTAGCTTATCAATTTTTAGATTATCATTTATCAAACGACACGTTACGACAGGCTAGCAAAAATGCGACCTTGTTCATGCCTATATGCAATTGTTTGATGCTCGCAATATTTATCTCACTGTCACGAAATGTCGAACATAGCGGTAAAATAGCAATTTACTTATTGCAACGTGACCTATTGACGTGAATATCAGAGAGAAGAAGCGAAAGTTTGTGGAAGTAAAGCGATAATTAACTAGAGATTTAGACAACTTTCACTGGTTGTGTTCAAATCTAGTGTTAATGCGCGTAAATTGTCACTAGATGTTTTTGCACTTTTCACAAGTGTTTTTAAAGAAAAAGAAGCGAAACAGAAAATTGAAAACTTAAATATAAAATATTTATTATTGATATAAAATATTTAGTATTTAGTATTAATATATAAATATAAATAGTATTAATATATAATATATAAAACTTAAATATAAAATATTTAGTATTTAGTATTGATATATAAAAATCTTTAGTATTAATTTCGTTCGGATTATCATGAATGCAAGTTTCATTTTAATTAAGTATCAGAAATTTATGACATTTTTCTAAAATAACATTTACTTATAATATAATTCGAACAATTAAAATTGTCTTTTTCATTGGAAATTAGATTCTCCAATATAAGAATATAAATATAGATATATGAATGATATCGTTTTATTTAGAAATCAATGGTAAAAGGATATTAATAAAGATTTATTTAATTAAGATATTATTTATAACATTTAGTCATTTTATATTTTAAATTTATATATTTACATATATTTATTTATTTATTGTTTGATACACCTAACACATCATTATGAAATATTACTGAAATTGAAATTATTATAACTTTGATATATTATTATAATATATAAAATATTGTACTTATAATATTATAAATAAATCAAATTTTTAAAAACAGAAGTGTTCGTATACAGTGATATTTGTTCAAAAGTGAGATCAACTCAAACATCTTTAGTATAATATTTAGTAGGTAAACACATGTTGTTTTCATTGAACTGTTTATGTTTGCAATGCAAAAGTTAAAAAAAAAAGGCTTTCATTTATTCGAAAATTCCGAATGGAATATCGATTATTTCGTTCTACTTACTTTCTCTCTCGTATTCGTACGACACCATTATTGAGGTAAACTTATACATACGTACGACCGTTTCTCGTAAGTCGTGTTCTGTTTTCATATTTTGTAAAGTAGGTTTCTCATTTTACGCCAGAGTTCCCCTCGCATGTGCAGTCACGTGCACGCAAAAAAATTTGGAATTCAAGAATCTAAGACGTGAAACCGGATTTTGACGGAAGAAGTGCCTGCATTTGCAGGAATGAACTAACAACGCTTCAAAAAAAGTTGCGCGTACGCGAAAAGAGAACTGAACGGTACGATTTTTTTCTTCCTTCTTTTTTTTTTTTTTTTTTTTTAAAGTCACGAGAACTCGACAATGAAATAAAAAAGAGAGAGAGAGAGAGAGAGAGAGAGAAATTTACGCGAAAACAAGTAAATAATATTTAGCGATAAAAAATTTATAACAAAAATTACACGTATTTCATACGATTATTAGACGAAATTATACGAATGAAATGAAAAATTCGTATAAGCATGCGCGCCAATACAACGGGAAATAAAAGAAAGCACGTCGGAAATGTAGGTAATTCAAAAATATTAAAAAGCCTGTCGTCAAGCGTGACTTATCGAGTTTTCATTGGACATTTCCGCCTATATCCATGTTATACACAGGAAGAATAGAACAAATGTGGAATTTTTCTCTCGAAATATCCGATAACAATAGATTTCCTAAAATTTTTTGGAGAACGCAGAAACACAGGCAGGTAAAAGTGGGAGAAGAGGATGAGGAATGAGTATGAGGTACCAGAAGTAGAGGAGAGAAGACAAGAGAAGAGAAGAGAAGAAGAGAGCAGAGCAGAAGAGAAGACTGTAGTGGAGAGGACAGGAGAGGAGAGAAGAGAAGAGAAGAGAAAGAAGAGAAGGGGCCAGAATGACACCGTTCATGTGTTACTCATTGTTTTGCCGAAAGTGGTAGTAGTAGGTAGGGCGCAATGGTGTTAACTACGTATTTACTAAACGACGAAGGTGTAGTGGTAGGCGTTCTAGAACGTCAGATGCTAGCGACGAAGGAAGTGGCTTTCATTAGTAGTGGTGGAGGTGGTGGTAGTGAGCACGCGGCACACTTCGCGCTTCTCTTTGTAAGTTCCCACAGTATCACGCACCTCGGGTTACTCTCGCAGGTGAAATAAACTGTTCCTCTCCTCCGTGATTTGATTCTGTCCTATCCGGCCGGATATTATTCTCTCTTTTTCTATGACTATTCGTGTAACCGTGTTTGCGGAGAATCGAGCATCCAATGTGTTCAACCGCGAGAGACGGCCTCGGCCTTGCTACTGTTACTAGTGTACTATGTCATTGAGAGGATTCGTCTGAACGAGCGAAGAATCAGATTTCTCTTCGCGACCTTTCCGTTGCCACGTGCTTCGCATCCTTTGGATTTTTTCCCCCAATTTTTCCCCAATTCCGCCGCGCGAACGTTTCAACGACTTGACCAGTTCCTCCAACGGCACTTTTACGCTTCGCCCTAATAAACAAATCAGGTAATTTCTTTCACTTTTAAAACAACAATGCACGTTACTTACTATTTTTATATACGTATTTAGAGATTTACATGAAGAATCATGTAACTAATGTTTATACAACACATCGCACATCCTTTTTGTATTTTACAATATTTAGTTGCAATCACTAATTTTAATAAAACTTTACAATCGTCGGTCTGCTTGTTAAACTTTATATCTTTTTAATTATTTTAGTTTAAAACGTTTGGAAAATCGTTCGTAAAGAACATCACGTAAACAGGTTTTAAAAATATAGGAGAAAGTACACGGTCAAGTTGAAACGCGAGGACAGTTTTGTAGAATATACTATTTTAATTCTCCGCTATATTTATTATACTAGAATCCTCTGAAATGTATAAATTTATTTACACATTCTATTAAAATCAACATCGATATTGTTTTAAATTATTTCACCAGATTTATGAAATTTTGATAATTAAAAATACAATAATAAAGATAAATATGCCATGATCGTGAAATTGTAGTAAAAATTGTAGTATTCACACAAGTAAATTTTAAGATCATTGTATCATACAATTTTTCCACATGATGATCTATTATATGTAACATTTAAACGAAATTACATTGAAAAAATAAACGAATAAGCTTTTGCATAAGATTGTATTGAATAATTAATTAATATAACTTTCTTGCAATTTAATTCGAATAAAATATGATTTATAAAATGTTAAATCTTTACATTTTCTCTAACGAATATAGCTAACCTTTGCACAGATTTTATAGAAGTATTCTCTGATTGATCGACGACTAATTTTGTCCGAGCCCAATAATTGTAACCTAATTTTTTTCACGAAGCCTTGTATTTTTAGATCCTCGCTGACTCCATTTAATACATAATAATTATACTTCTTCTCGACAGGAATTGATTTTAACGAAAAGAAAATAGAAAAGAATCGAAAATAGTATAGCAACATACAAATAAAGGAAATAACATATAAAAATCAGATCTATATATCGAAAATGCTTGATATAATATAGTAAAGCATTGCAATTTTCTTTAGTTCCTACTAGTTCATTATAATTTACATAGAGGGATATCAAGCCTTGATCTGATTTTATATGCATCGTGTGAGCTTGAAATGATACCGTTTTACAGTCGTTTTATCTATTATGTACTACTAAAGTTATAAAGCATAATTTTGCAAAAGTTGAACACACAATTTTCAATTGTGAATATCACAGAAATTGACTTACATTAGTCATAAATAATTGATCTATATTAATTATGAGAAAATTATGAATAATATATAAAACTGTATTATATGTATAAAAACAATGAATGGCGAAAAGGAAAAGTAATAATAACAATTAGATTCCATGTGTGTATGGTAAGAATACAAAATATACAGGCAACACATTATATCATCGTTCGTGTGAAGAGATAAAATACCGTTTAAAAAAAAAATAAACCAACGAAACCAATTGATTGACAGTGGAACATTGCTTCTGTGAACGTAAACGTTGTTTCTTGTTCAATTCGTAGAATGTATGGACCGATTTTCTTCGTTTCCATTCTGGGAGCATTTCGTGAAATTGCCGCTGCCTCGCAACACATTAACAAAGATCTCACGAACCACTACAATGCTCGTTTTCACGTTTACGAAGAACCGTACAGTATCGACTTCACATATCATAATTACGAGCAAATGAGTCGTTTTCTACGAACAACGTCTCTTCGATTTCAAAACCTCACTGCCTTATATTCTATAGGGAAATCCGTAAAAGGTATGCAAACATTTCCTAGGAAACATTTCCTTGTTCTATTTTACCACGACTTTAGCTACGATTTATCTAGATATTTACGCATTACGGCCCTATTGCGATTTTAAAGCAATTGTTTTAAATATATCATTGATCTCTTTGATGTTTAAACATAGGATCGAAAGATATGAGTGTAGATGTATGATAAAAGATGTGTTTCATAGGTCGTGATTTGTGGGTAATGGTTGTTTCTTCCTCGCCTTACGAGCATATGATCGGTAAGCCTGATGTAAAATATGTGGCCAATATACATGGGAACGAAGCTGTGGGCCGTGAATTAATGTTACATCTGATTTACGTAAGTAGTCGAATAATACATGGCACAACATCACTATTCCATTCAAGAAAAAATACTGTCATACATTACAAACATACATACACAGATGTATACATACAAGTATTTTATATAAAGAACTCAGTATCTATCAATATTTGTCAATATTTACACTCGAAAATTTTTATATCAATGACTAATATTTTTAATAATTGTGTTAAAATTTCTTTCATATTATGTATTGTATATTAAACGTATTTACTTTATGAATTAGGCTTCATATTAAGTGTTTGTAAAATTTTGCGCAGTAGCAAAATATTTCAAAGTCTACTCGTTAATTATTTCTAATATGTTTCGAGCTCTTGAAAACATCCTATAGTTTACTTCTGTTTATTATAGTAAACCTAGTAAAATTACAATTTCTGAGAGTATTGTTTACAATTATTATTCTTCTTTCATTTGAAGATAGAGACTAGAGATAAACTAGTAATAAAAAAGTTTTCAGTTGACACACATTCATGGTAATTAAAGTAAAGAGGAGAAATTAAATTAAAAAAAAAAATTTCGATTTTAAACGAAGAAGAAAAAGAGAAGAGACATTATTTTGAATAATCTTCATCAAATTTCAAATTATGCACACATAAATTATCGTGTCATTATCGTGAAACAGTATTAATAAGTCAAATTCTATTTTTCATTTATAGTTCTTTGTGACAAATTATGGATCAGATCCGTATATTACGTGGCTTTTAGACAATACCAGAATTCACATTCTTCCATCAATGAATCCTGACGGTTTTGAGGTTTCAAAAGAAGGATATTGCGAAGGTGGTCAAGGCAGGTAAGACTGTCCAATTTTTTTGTATTGATAAAATTAACAAATAATAAAACAAAATAGTACCAGTAGAAACAATTTACAGTAAAAAGCTGTGTATGTGAAATATATTTCTGTTCTCCCTTTTATTGAATGGATCAGATTTTTTTTT